TCAATTACATAGCTACTATATAATTCATTTATTTGAGAATCTTTGCCTTACTTACACTGGGGTAAGTTTGGAATAGTCCACTTTTGCGTGGGAGGGAGATGGACTTGAAATATGCTGTATTTGCTCCCAAGCAAATGTCGGCCTCTCTAGTTTTATGTTGTTTTTAAGCTGCAAAAGGAAACCACCACAAAAGTAAATGAATTTACCATAACCCTTGAATTGTGAACAGTCCTTTGACTAAAGTAAAAAATTTCCTAACAAGATGTTGTTTCTCCTGTTCCTGTTTGCAGCTGAGGCAAAGACAGAAGAGAAAACAGAGGAAGCCCCAGGTAGGATGAAACATTTAGGAAATGTGTTCACCTTGTGGTGACCTTGTAATGACTTTGTCATGAAAATTTTTTGACCTGGTGTTGACCTTGTAATGACCTTGTGATGAAGATTTTTTGACCTTGCGATGACCTTGTAATGACCTTGTGATTAAGTTTTGTTGACCTTGTGGTGACCTTGTAATGACATTGTGATGAAGATTTTTTAACCTTGTAGTGACCTTGTGCTGAAGTTTTGTTGACCTTGAGCTGACCTTGAACTGACCTTGCACTGACCTTGTGTCCCAGCTGAGGGAGGTGAGGAGAAGAAGGAGGGAGACGCCGACGTGAAGGCAGACGAGACGAAGACGGAGGGAGACGGGAAGACGGACGATGAGAAGGCTGCCGAGAAGAAAGAGGTCAGGATGGACAGATGGAGAGAAGACAAATAGTAGTAGTCATAGTAGTAGTAGTAGTAGAAGTAGAAGTAGTAGTAGTAGTAGTAGTAGAAGCAGTAGTAGTAGTAGTAGTAGTAGTAGAAGTAGTAGTAGTAGTAGTAGTAGTAGTAGTAGTAGTAGTAGTAGAAGTAGTAGTAGTAATAGAAGTAGTAGTAGTAGTCTAGTAGTAGTAGACTTGTTTTATTGCTTTGTGATGGACTGAATTCAATAATACGTGTATGACTGAGTTAGTTGAGAAGTTGACAGGACAGGGATGGTCCTCGTAAAACATTTAAACCCAGGGGGCTGCTGGTACTTGGTGGAGTTCCTTCACTTTTATCACTTTTATCACTTGGGATTTGAAATTAAAAACTCCCCTTTGTCCTCTGACCTGTGTCCTTTGCCCTCTGACCTGTGCCCCTTGCCCTCTGACCTGTGCCCTCTGTCCTGTTCAGGAGGAACAGAAGGAGACGAAGGCGGAGGACACGGGGCCCACGACCTGGGAGTACGGCGACCTTCAGCTGCACAAGGCCGACCTTCTGGACGCAGACTGCTGGAGGGGGTACGTACAGGGGGGTGTTCAGAAGGGGGGTTGAGGAGGGGGATATGTAGGGGTATGTACGGGAGGGGGTACGTACAGGGGGTGTTCAGAAGGGGTGTGTTGGGGTGGTTGTGTTTCTTTGCTTTGCATAACTACAGTAACACTCCTGATATAATAAGTACAAGCTGTGTAAGAAAGAAAGAAGTAAAGTTCCAGTACTAAGGGCACAGCATTGGGGTCTGCTTGTGATTCGGACCAAACCACAAGAACACCTTGACCCCTACAAATGTAGGAGGCTGGGAGGCCTTAAGGAGTGTGTGGACTGCCTGCGACTGTTGTTTTATTGAGGGTTGGGCAAGGGGGTAGCAGGTAAAGGGGAGGTAGGCCAGGGGCATGTGGGTTGGAGGGGAATGCCAACTGCTTGTTGTAATGTTTCTTGTTTCCCTGTAGCCTGATCGAGGGTTGTACGTACGTGATCCACACGGCAAGCCCCTTCCCCCTCACCAACCCTCGCAACGAGGACGATGTCATCAAACCCGCCGTAGAGGGCACCACAAACGTGCTCAAGGTCAGGGAAACTATTCTCTCTCACTTGCTTTCACACTCACTCAACCACTCTCTCAGTCACTCACACACTCACACTCCACCACTCTCTCTCAAAACTTACCACCTGTAAAACCTGGAAGTACATACTAAACAGACAGCACCCATGGCCAGGTTGACAGTCTAATGATGTGTCAGATCAGTTGGATCTGTAGTAGAATGTAGCATCCACTGTAGGTTACTCATGTTGTCATTGTTGTCAGACTGATTTTGAGTCGAACAGAAAAGTGCAAACAAGCTGAAATAGAAGACGATCAAATGCCTCATTCAGGACATACAGATTGAATGCTGCTATAGAATCAATATGAAGCTGACATTACAAAATGTAGTTACCATTGTTATCAGACTTACTTTTTTAGGTGTTGTTTTTTATACATTTTCCAAAGCGTAACAAAACAAAAGTTTTATCCATCCTGTTGCCATAATAACTGATTGATTGGCTCCTACATGTATGTGTACCATGTTGCCATAGCAACCTGTAACCATAGTAACGCGATGATTGACACCTGTCCTCCCCCCAGGCCGTGGCAGCTAACGGTGAGATCAAGCGAGTTATCCTCACCAGCTCCCTCGCAGCCATCTGTGGTGAGTCGGCTTCCTACGACCTTGGGGACACAACCTCAAGGTCAACATGGCTGACGGTGTAGGCAGACCCAGCACGTCAGTAGAACGTACTGCACCAAACCCTGATTTTTAATGTTTTTTGTTGGATTTTTGGTCAACTTTGCATTAAAAATTTTGCCTGTTGCAAACGATATATCTTTTCCAACATAACATTTGGAAACAACAGTTGGGATGTTAACCCTATATGTGCAAATACAACCTTTTATGAGACATTCTGCCGAAGTACTATGCACAATGCATTACAGGTGTCACACAGGTGCAGTACGTTCTGCCGACGTGCTGACAGACCCAAGCATAGTCCCTCCCTCCCCGCTGAAAAGTAGTTGTCTGAACTATTTGGTTTCCTTTTATGTACTAAATACCTTAGTAACACCTGCAAACTTACCCGTGATGCCTACCAGCCATACCTCATTTTATTTCCTTCCAGAGAAAGTAGTCTTACTTTGAGTTTGTTTCCTTATGCCTTTCATTTGTATTTTTGTTGATTCAGTTGTTTTAGATAGTCTTGCTTTGTTTTCATTTCCTTGTTGCAATTTAGTTTTAGTCCTTTGTTTTAACCTTTGTTTTGCAAATCAAAGCTGGTTCCTGTCTTGCCTTCTGAGCTTTCACATAAAAAATGTTGGGTCCAAAACAAGTTTCCAAAAAAGGAAAACTTTGAGGTTTGCCAACACAACATTTTATGCCGTGGACCTCTGCATTTTTTCATGCATCATAAGCATGTTAAGAAACAATCACATTCAACGAAACATTTCCTTCAAAAATGTTCAGTGCTGTTAAAGGGGGAGGGCAACTTGTAAAGGTGCATTCACACCTGTTTTGCCCTCCCTTTCCCTTTTTGAAAAATCAAAATAAACAAATTACAAAAAAATTTCTAACGACAGAAGAACCAGCTTTGACGGCATCTACCGTATTTCCCTCATCAGAAGCACAGCTGTAGTAACAAAGATAATCTCAAGACTTATCGTTGTGCTTCAGATAGAGGAAATACGGCAGCCTGCCCCCCCCTTTCCTGCGCATTAGTCTCTCCCGTTGCCACGCCAACCCACACATAGTCACATGACACTTGTTGGTCTCACTACAAGGTAATCTCTATATCAAACCAGCCGCGCCCGAAGCGAACAAGGTCTACACCGAGGAGGACTGGACTAACACGGACCGCGCCCAGGCTTACCTCAAGTCCAAGGCCCTGGCCGAGAAGGCCGCATGGGACTACATGAAGGACCTGAAGGAGGGGGAGAAGTTTGAGCTCGTCGTGCTCAACCCTGGGTGAGTCAGAAATTTTATTCTAGAGAAGGAACATTGCAGGCTAGAGCAGGAACTTTGTAACTTGAAACGTACCAACATAAGTTTGAGCTCGTGGTGCTCAACCCTGGGTGAGTCGGAGATTTTATTGTAGCAGAAATTTTACTGGATCAGTTCAGTTTTATTCTAGAGAAGGAACATTTTAGACTAGAGCAAGGACAGTAACTCGAAACATAGCAACTGAAGTTTGAGCTTGTTCAAACCTTGGTGCTAGAACAGCGCAGAAATGAATGAGACTGGTTTCTTCCCTTCCTTAGATAACCTGGTTTAATTGTCAGCAGTTTCTCATGTTTTTGTGTTTGGAAAGCCACTGTTACCAAAATGCAGGTGAATTTTTTTGGCTGAGAACTTGTTTTTCTCCCTCATTTGACTCTTTCCTTCCTTCCTTCCCAGCTACGTAATGGGTCCAGTGATCAGTAAGAACTCCTTCACCAGTATGGAGGCAGTGGTGTTACATCCCTCTCTAACCTGACTCTTTCCTTCCTTCCTTCCCAGATATGTGATGGGTCCAGTCATCAGTAAGAACTCCTTCACCAGTATGGAGGCGGTGGTTCGGCTGTTGCAGCGTTCGATGCCGGCCGTCCCGAAGATTAACCTGAACATCATCGACGTTCGCGACGTCGCCAAGGCTCACATCATCGCTCTGACCAATGAGCAGGCTGCAGGTGGGTCCATAATAACTTCATCTTTACTTCATCTGTCAGGCAACATGCATCCTCGCACAGCCAAGGTTTGTTTCCTATAGGAGAACATTGCGTATGGTTCCTAGTCCAAACAAATAAGGTCAATGACCTGAACCAGATGTCTGTCACCATGGTAACTAGTGTTGGGTTACATCATGTTGCAATTTTATAGCATTAGCAGGAAGGATTTAGACCACATATACGAATGTGTTTGAGTAAGAATCAACAGAGCAGACCCTATGCGAAGGTAAACATTATGCATATGCTTTGCAGATGTTACCTTTCTAGTTCATTGCTTTATTCATTCTCTCATTCCTTCGTTCCTTCCTTCCTGTAGACAACCGGCACATCCTTGTGCAGGGGAACATGTGGCTGCGAGAGGTGGCCCAGATCCTGGCCAACATTCATTCATTCTCTCACTTCATTCCTTCGTTCCTTCCTACAGACAACCGGCACATCCTTGTGCAGGGGAACATGTGGCTGCGAGAAGTGGCCCAGATCCTGGCCAAGGAGTTCAAGCCGCAGGGCTACAACGTCCCCACCATGAGCTGCCCCAAGTTCCTCCTGCGAATCAGCAGGTGAGATGCACTAATAACTTCCTCTGATTGGTCCATTCAGCGACATTCCGAAAATTGCAAGTGTATCAGCAATGCTGATTGGTTAGTTCAGTAACATTCCGAAAATAGCAAATATATCAGAAATGCTGATTGGTTGTTTGATGTCCACTTTATGAGCTGCCCCAAGTTCCTGCTGCGTATCAGCAGGTGAGAAGTCCAAATAACCTCCTCTGATTGGTCGGTTTAGCAGCATTCCGAAAACTGTCAATGTATCGGAAATCCTGATTGGTCAGTTCAACAGCATTATGAAAATACAAATGTATTGGCAATGCTGATTGGTCAGTTCAACAACATTCTGAAAATAGCAAATGTATTGGAAATGCTGATTGGTTACTTTAACAACATTTCGAAAGCAGCAAATGTATCAGAAATGCTGATTGGTTAGTTCAACAACTTTCCAAAAATAGCAAATGTATCAGAAATGCTGATTGGTTGTTTGAGGACAACCTTGAGTTACATAAATGCTGATTGGTTAGTTCATCACCATTCTGAAAATAGCAAATATATAAAAAATGCTGATTGGTTGTTTGAGCCCCACTATATGAGCTGCCCAAAATTCCTTCAGCCAATCAGCATGTGAGAAATAGACATCCTTTCTGCTGATTGGTTAGCTCCATAGTTACAGGGAGTTTAAAAATTTGTACATCACATCAGCATTTTCAGTGTTGGGTTACATGGGAACATGAGAAACTTGAAGGTCAAGTGACAGTAGAGGTCGTTCAGCATGATTGATGTCGAATCAATTTCATCGATCGATCACATGAAAAATTGAATTGATGTCAGAATTGATTATTACCGGTGTATAATGATGTATGTCAGTTTTCTAGCCAGGCCTTTTTTAGCATAGGGGCCCCCTATGCTATGATTTTGACCCCCTATGCTATAATTTTGACCCCTATGCTATAATTTTGACCCCTATACTAAAGTTTCAACCAGCATAGGGGTGATTTGGCAGGGAGAACCTTCATAAATCTTGCCAAAAACGAAAATATAACTTTAGAATGAAGCTATAGCAAAGGGAAAACCTTAACTTCCCAAAATCTGTTCCACATTAAACAAGAAATGGTGTCTCAGGGGGTTAGGAGTTTCAAAACATTTCAGCTCAAAGCGTGATTCGCGCCCCGAAAGTTGCTCTTCTGTACCGGACCTCTGTGCTATGAAAAAATCCTGGCTAGAACACTGTACGTTTTGTGTTGCCATCAGTGTTTGTTCTGTGTTACTAACCTTGTGGAATAAACATTCGTTCCTGTTTGTTTCCAGTCATCGTCATGACGACAGGGCCCGTTGCTATGACTACCATGTACATGTTGTTCCGTTGTGTATGTTTTTCGCCTTGTTTTTTGGTGTGGAGTTCTTACATCATGTAGCCTAGCAACCAGTAGTGGCTGTCCATAGCGGGCAGTTTCAGTGCCTGTTTTCTCTTTGGTGTCTTCATGCTTGGTTTGGTAATTTTCATTGTTTGTGTTTTGTGTTGATCAGGGTGTTTGCTTTATTACAAGGTGCTTGCTGGTTTGTTTGTTTTTTAGTTTTTCTCCATACTCCATAGTTTTATCAAATTGTGTTGGTGTGTATTTTTATACATAAAGAAAACAAAATCTGAATTCATAAGAAAACAGTTTCTCAAGCAACTAGATAGATTTTGAAAACTGTCAGACGTTTCAAGTCCCATCCACCACGTGTTGTCCGTGACTAATAGAATCTCTAGTTGAAAAGGTATTTTATTTGTCTTCACTCATTCTCATATAAAGTCATAGTTTTAGTATAAATACCAGTTCAACTACAGATTCCGAAAAGTAGTAACAGTTCTGCTACTTGAAATGTCTGACAGTTTTCAAAATCTATCCAGTTGCTTAATTAACTGTTTCCTTGTGTACCTCACTACCTGGATGTCTGACATAATCTCCAAGCAGATAATATGGTGCCAGAGGAGTGTCCATTATAGATACTGTCTGGCCAATTCGATCTTGTCTTTTGAGGCTACTGAAAGATCTGCTTCGAGATTAGTCTAACCTTCATCAACAAACCTGAATTCCTGCCACATCTTTTGTTAATTGTGTGACTCAGACTTCGATCTTTGGAGTGCAATGATTAATTAAGTTCGTCAGCCTAACAAGTGTTATTTTTCCACCAGTTGGTTTGACGGTGGCCTGAGGATGGTGGTCCCGTACGTGGGGAAAGTTCTGACCTGCGATAACAAACGCATGAAGGACGTGCTCGGCATCGAGGAGCGCCCGCTGAACGAGACGATTCTGGACATGGCGTACTCCCTCGTGGACGGAGGCTTCGTCAAGAAAACCTCCAAGTACAAGGGTCACCCCAAGAACAGGCCTGAGGAGCCCAAGGAGGTCAGTCTCACAGTCTTTAGTGTCTTAACCCTTGTCCTGCTGGCAATTTGTACACGATATTTTCAAATAATTTCATGTCTTAATCAGGTTACAGACCCTTGAGTTTTTTTGCCCCGCGGTGGCGTAGTTACTTCCGCATTCGTTGCGTTTCGCTGCGGTGTGATGCGTTGCACGAGAAACACCCCCAAATCGCACATATACAGGGCACTATATAGATGGTACTGTATGTGCAGCCCATATATATATGGGCCCCGCAGGACAAGGGTTAAGTTGTTGCTAATTTAATTTGATGAAGTTAATGTTGTATTGTGATTGTGAAAACCTGTGTGAAGTACTCATGACATTGGTTTGTAATTTGAAAAAATTTACTCAGGTTGTGTTAAAGAACTGAACTTCAATCATCTACAATAATCTAATTGAAGTATGAATTTGTTAAACCAGGTCCAATGAACAGAATGTAGAAATGTGCTAAGCCTGAAGTTGACAAAATCTAACATGTAGCAAAACCTAGGGTTTTCTACAGGACTTGATTTGTAATTGATGTATGATACGCTATGAAACAGTTATTCAAGCTACTGGATATGATTTTGGAAATGGTCAGACGTTTCAGGTAGCATCCACTACTTTTCGTCAATGACACAGAAGGAAATGTCTGACCGTTTCCAAAATCATATCCAGTTGCTTGAGTATTTTGGGCGTATCTTGTTATCTGGATGCCTAACCTTCACCGACGTAAATGATGTATGAGTTAAGGTTTTGTTTGTTGAAGCCATCCATGGAATATTGATGATTGTAGAAATGTGCTAAGCTCCCCCTCCCCCCCCCCATCTAAACCCACAGGAGAAAAAGGCTGACGGAGCTGTGAAGGAGAATGGAGAGGTTGCCACGCCAACGCCCGCCATCGACACCGAAGCCAAACCCGACGCCACGGAAGTACGCTGACCTCTGCATGACCTCTAACCTTTCCTTCATTAGCTAATTAGTGCCTCGTTAATGAACTCCTACTGACTCACTCCTTTTCTAGTCTAGAGGACACAGTGTTTCTCCCTTCCTGGTAGGATGGCCTGCTGGAATGGTGTTCTCCGTTCCTCATTCTCTCCTTCCTTCCTTCCCTCTTAGCTGGAATGTTGATCTTAACAAAATAAATCTTTTCTTCCTTTGTTCTGTGTAATGCGTACTTAGAAACTTAGGGTGACTCTAGAGCTGTATTAAATGAAGTAGTGAATGAATGGTTTGTAGTTGTTGGCTGTTTGTTTACCTTACGTTCCTTTCTTCATGTTGTTGTTTACTTTCCCATCCGACTCTCCCACTTTCCCCTTGTTACGTCCATGTTACTTCTGTTCCCTCTGCCTAGCGAAGCAGATGGCTCACCCAGCTGGCAAAGCTCCCTGATTGGTTGGCCCATGTCACATGATGGTCACTGACCAATCAGGTGCTGCCTGCTGGGTGGAGTGGTCTGTTACAATGGCAACCTGTCTGCTAACATGCCTTTCACACCAAACTGTTACTTGTAGGAGCAAACTACTGATGAGCCACAGGAACTCCCAGAGTCTTCGCAAGCTAAGGAGACAGGCAAGGTCGAAGAGCCACTCAAGGTCAAGATATCTCCCAAGGTCGAAGAATCTCCCAAGGTCGAGGAATCTCCCAAGGTCGAGGAGTCTCCCGAGGTCGAAAAATCTCCCAAGGTCGAGGAATCTCCCAAGGTCGAGGAATCTCCCAAGGTCGAGGAGTCTCCAAAGGTCGAGGTATCTCCTAAGGTCGAAGAATCTCCCAAGGTCAAAGAATCTCCCAAGGTCGAGGAGTCTCCAAAGGTCGAGGAATCTCCAAAGGTCGAGGAATCTCCAAAGGTCGAGGAATCTCCCAAGGTCGAAGAATCTCCCAAGGTCGAAGAATCTCCAAAGGTCGAGGAGTCTCCCAAGGTCGAGGAGTCTCCCAAGGTCGAAGAAGACACAGCCACAGAAGAAGAGCATCAAACTGAGGCCCTACCAGAGGAGTTGCCGGTTGTCAAGGAGACAGAGGTTACCATAGAGATGTCTGATGTTGGACAGACAGAGAATGTTCAGGATGTAGCTGTTGCCACGGAGACAGAGCCTGCAGCAGAATCTCCTGTTGCCACGGAGACAGAGCCTGCAGCAGAATCACATGTTGCCACAGAGACAGAGCCTGCAGCAGAATCTCCTGTTGCCACGGAGACAGAGCCTGCAGCAGAATCACCTGTTGCCACGGAGACGGAGCCTGCAGCAGAATCTCCTGTTGCCACGGAGACAGAGCCTGCAGCAGAATCTCCTGTTGCCACGGAGACGGAGCCTGCAGCAGAATCTCCTGTTACCACGGAGAAAGAGCCTGCAACAGAATCACCTGTTGCCACGGAGATAGAGGCTGTTGAAGAAGCACTCGTTGCCCGGGAAACCACAGTAACCATGGAGACAGAAAGTCCGGAGCCAACAGAAGTATGCAGTAGTGGCTCACTGTTCATCTCACAGTTTACTAATCATTTCTCTGCACGTCTTTTTCTCTCCTAGAAACTGTCAACACTCTCACCCCCCTCCCACCGGAGGTCTCATCCTACCGTTCCATTACACTCTAGTTCCCTTCCAGTGGAAGGCTGTTCCACCTTACAGTTCTCCTGGGTTGTGTTTATCAGTTGTTTGCACCTGTAGCCTGTAGTGAACAGACAAACAGGCACTGCCCAGAATGCCATGGCCTGCCCGTGATCACAAGGTGGTCATGTGATGTGCATGCAGTGATCATGTGATAATCATTTAACTCTGTGAAATATGTTTCTGAACATAAAGTAAACTTTCTGATTGACATTCAAGGTCATTTGCCACTGAAAGTGTGCCAAGGTAACAAAAACTATGGCTTGTAGAGATGTTTTCTTTGGACATGTGATGATCACATGACAACCATGTGTCCATCATGTGCTGATCATGTAACAATCATGTGCCGTCATGTGATGATCATGTGATGATCATGTTCTGATCATGTAGTGATCATGTGCTGATCATGTGCCCATCATGTGCTGATCACATGATGATCATGTGCTGATCATATGACGATCATGTGCCAATCATGTGCTGATCATGTGATGATCATGTGATGATCATGTGCCCATCATGTGCTGATCATGTGAACCATGTGTTGCAGGAGCCGAAGGCCGACGGGGAGGCGAAAGTGAACGGAGACGTGCCGACCCAGGAAGGAGACGCAGACACGAAGGAAGTGGCGGAGGAGGAAGCCAAGGAAGAAGTTACGGAAGTACGAACAAAAGTGTGACGGCAGCTCCTTTCCTCTGTCTCACTAACTCCTTACCTTCTCCTCTAGCAGTCTCTAACGGCGCTAATCTGCACGTCGCATCGCTCGTTAACGCTCCTTCGTTAACGGGGAAACAAAACTGTCCAGGTGGCCTGCATGCCTGTGTGAGTCCGGTCCGTGGGGAGTAGATAGAGTTAGGCCTAGGAAACAAAAATGTGTTTCCCGACCGACCCTAGAAAAACTGCCAACCCTAGCCTTTTTTTGTGTGTGGACCCCTGCAAGGGACTTAAATTTTTTGAGCTGATCGACTTTTTCTAGCTCCATGATCTGACATCTGAGTGATGAAACATTGTACACTCAGTTTTTCAACATTGACATTGAAACTAGAAGTGTGCTCATGCAACTTTTACTTGGTTAAACTGTATTGTATAAGTTGGATCACTAGAGATCACCAAAGTCTAAAAAAAAAGAAAGACATAAAAAAGATAATCCCTACCTATGGACCATAATTTTTGTCAGGACTGGAACAGGAAACACAACACTTTTTTTCCTAGGCCTAAACGTAGCGGCAGTTTGCGTAGAGCCTGTTCCTTACCCTGGGCAAACGTGTGAGCCTGAGAGTCTGTTTGATGTTGTTTGTTTGTTTGTTTGTGTCCAGGAGAAGAAGGCGGACGGAGATGTGAAGGAGAATGGAGAGGTGCAGGGCAAGGAGGAGGCCCCGGCCGCGGAAGACGGGCCCAAGGAGGAGACTGCAGAGGCTAAGGAGGAGAAGGTACGTCTTGGTTTCTCTGAGGAGAGAAAGTGTGGTTAAAGAAGATCTACAGTGTCTCAAGCTGTTCACATCATCATTGGTTTCACCTTCCGTTTCTCCTTCTAAAAGTTTGTCTACTTCTTAGTGCTTACTCTGCCTATATATTAAGAAAAAGAAGAACTGTTTTCTGTGTCCATGAATTTGTAAGATCTCAGTATTTGCGTGCTTGGCCAGAGAAGAAATAATGTATTTTTATATCTTGCAGCCAGAGGAAGAGGCCGCCAAACCAGAGAGCACTTCACAACCCGAGGCAGAGGCAGCAGCCCCCAGGTCAGTAGTGGTACACCCCTAAACACTACATATCTACCCCAGGTCAGTAATGGTACATCCCTAATGATCATCACATGACTGTCACATGATCATCACATGACTGTCACATGAACATCACGACTTTTTGTCACATGATCATCACATGACTGTCAAATGATCATCACATGATTGTTACATGACCATCACTTGACCATCACTTGATCATCACTTGACTTTCACATGGCCATCACATGACTGTCACATGACTGTCACATGGCCATCACATGACTGTCACATGATTATCACATGATCATCACATGACTGTCACATGATCATCACATGGCTGTCACATGATCCTCACATGATCATCACACGACTGTCACATGATCATTACATGATCATCACATGGCTGTCACATGATCCTCACATGATCATCACACGACTGTCACATGATCATTACATGATCATCACATGGCTGTCACATGATCCTCACATGACCGTGATCCTGACCTCCGTTGTTTTTCTGTTCCCAGCACCGAGGCGAGCGAGCAGCCGACGGAGGAGAAGAAGGAAGATGAGGGGAGCGCGGCGGCCGCTGCTGCTCCGGAGGAGGAGAAAAAGGAGTAACTCCCGCGCGCCCCGAGAGAAAATTCCTACCTACACAGAATTTATTGTGCATTCCAAATGGTTACTCTACTTAGTTGTCCTGACGTACGTTCTTTTTGTGTGGTTGTGGAAAGACTTTGGAACCGTCAGGCTTCCTTGGCAACAGTAGTTTGTGGAAATTTGAGAGAAGGCGACCTTTTATGATGAATTCTGGTGCTCAAGAATGAGTGGCAAAGAAAGTTCCATTTGGGGCTGTTGTTGAAATTTGGGCAATGTATGCGTGAAGCGGAATGTGTGTTGTATACATGCTTGAGCGTTGTGGAAATAGAGAAGAACTAAAAATTGTAGCGATACTTACCAATGTTCCGCCACTTTTTGCTGAAAACTGTCAAACTGTGGTATGTATGAATCGTACTGTAAAGTTGAAAATCTGTGAGAGTTTGCAGCGGAGATAGCTAGCCACCTTTCTTGCCTGTTGATAACCTTAATCATGTGACGTGCATGTGATGATCATGCTGTGTGCATGTGACCATCATGTGCTCCTCAGCCTTGTCGTTGACCTTGACACCAAGTTTGCTGTAAACTTCCGTACATGTTTTCTTTTGGTGCCCGAACAAAATTCCCGTAAAAAAAAGATAGGCTAGTAATGTCGCATGTTAGTCCAGAGTAGCTATAGTCCGCGGTCATGGCAAAATTACGTCAGAGTTTTCCAGTTTAGTGGAATGAATTTAAAAAGCAGCGGCATGACCTTGCACACCCTTCCAAATCTGCAGCCTGTTCTAGGCCTGTTTAAGCCTGTTCCGCGGCCTGTACAAGCCTGTTCTTGCCGACAGCTGACTTCCAGGGCTGCGCGTTTTTGTGTTGTGGGATGATTGCCTCGTGTACAGTTATACAATTTCCACTTTGTAAAGGGTGCAAAAAAAATTATTCCAAAAAAAAATTAAGAAAAAAAAATTGTGGTAACTGTTGTATAAGGTTTCGTCTGTAGTGCCCAACTAACTGCTGAACTTACCACTGCGCATTGTTACAGATTGTACAACACTTTGTCGCCACTTTAGAAGGGGTTTTTCTGACCATGTCAACACCACCAGTGGTATTACAAACAAGGGGCCCTGCGGACTTGGAGATGCACCGGTCTGTTCACTCGCTGCTCTTAAAATATGTCTTAAAGATCTATAATTGTCTTAGAAAAAAATCCTTGAGATCACTCCAACACTTCCTCTGGCCAAGGCCAAATCGAAAACAACAACAAAAAAAACAGCTCAAAAAATTTTTCCAGGAACGAGGCACCATTCCATATTAGGGCGTGAGCTTACTTGGAACATTCCATGACGAGTCGGAGACGGGGGTGTTGGAGAGGCAGCTTGACTGTGTGGCAGTGAACAGGCTCCGTGGTCTCTGTACAAGGCAGCTCATAGCGAGAGACACACCAAATCTCGATGCGCAGTCGTACGTTTCACAATATAAATCGTCAACCAACATGGCCGACGGTCATCCAAGATGGCTGCTGCCTCGCAAGCCAGTAGACTTTCCTATCTCGTGGTTACCTGACAAAGCATCGTACGTTGCGTTTTACGGCGGATGGAATACTAGTAACTTTTACATCCAACCAACTACGATGTTCTGTCTATGCCACAAGATCAGTAGTCATTCTCTACCTTCCCCACATTGAAATGGTTTGCCCCGATTTGTCGCCACCACGCCTGTAGCAACAACTCGGTCAGGAACCTTCCATTCCGATATGGGGGTGCGACATTTAGAATTTGTTAGTAAGTCGTGAACATGGCGTGTAAGTAACACTGAAGCAAGCCGACATGACACCAAATTTTCCAGCATTGATGCGAAAAACTTAAATCGTCATTCGTTGCTCTACAGTCCTTCTGCGTACTAATTACCTCTACACATACACACGATCAGTTTCTCTACAGTCACTTCTCTCTATCCTGACTTTCGTGCCAATTATTTCCCGAGCGTTTTAACTCTGATTGGCTGTTTTCTGTCAATTTAAACACGTGCCAAAGTTCCGTGGCGTGGCGCAAACCCGACAAAGCGTGTTCCCTGCTAACATCGCTGTGTTGGTACCTATTCTTACAGCACGTTTTTGTTTTCTTGCCATATTTTTGCACAAGTTTCTGTTCGTTGATTGGACATCTTTGTGGGGAGAATGAGGCGTCTGACTGGCTTGTTTGTTGGAAATCTAGAAATCGAAACTTTGGAATTATTTGCAAAAACGCTGTGTCTGTGTGAGGATTATTTTCAGGGTTTGTTATTAATTACTAAGTGAGCACAAATGTGGAATATTTCTTTCTGTAAAGGATAATTTGATAATAACAAGATGTCTGTATCTTTTGTAACCGTTTAATAATATTTCTTTGTGCCAATTTTCTGTATTTATAAGATTTACGTGATATTTCAGGTTACCACTACAAGTATTACTAATGTTGCTAGGATTAATTAACAAGTGTAAGAATCAGGACATAAACAAGGTATTTTTGTGTGATACTCTAGGTTAAGTTTGGTTAAGTTGTGTTTTAGTGTAATAATGTGTGCCACTGTTTCTTGCCCAATGTTACAATATGTACCGGAACAGACCGTGTAATGCACTGACAAACCCGCTTGGTAGAAAGAAGAAACCTCCAATTCGTTGCCACCCAGAAATGATTTGCGAAAGCTGAACACCGACTGAGAATAAAAGTGGCCCTGTCTCTGCATTACCTGTTGTCTGTTCTAAGATCCTGAGCTAGCGTCTTGCCCGTGTATCCCGTGACTTTAAGGCCTAGAGTTGCCATCTCGACTGTTAATAGTGATGGCAAGATTCCATGTGAACATGGGTGCATCCATTACATCGGCAGGGGAGGACAGGCCTTCCTTCACCAATATGCAGTACTGTATGATCTTCTTTGACTTTTTTTGAGCCCAGCCCTCCCCTTCAGCAAAAATGGATGCTCCCATGGTCCACCCAGGTCCCTGGACAGAATGTCACCAGCAAATTCTGGATTCAGCCTGGAATTCCAGGTCAGGATTCCATGCGGGAATTCCCATCCAGAATTCTGGCCAGGATTCCATACTGGAATTCACACCCAGAGGGACCAGAGGAACCGTCCTGGGGCCTGGTAGTGTGGTGGGTGGGGGCAAAGGTCAACAGTCATCCAATCAGCAAAGAGTGTGAGAAACGGGTGTGCCGCCCCCCTCCCTCAGAGGGTTCTGTGACCTTGGGAGAACGGAAAGGTTTTTACTGTGTGGACAGTTTAGAATTTATCCTTATAAGGAAGACAGGTCAACACCAGTCCTGGGTAGCCATGGCAACACGGATGAGTGACAAGCGGATCAGACAAGAATGTGTAAAACTGAAAGGCATGGCAGTGAGAAACATCTCATGACAGCCAAGTGCATGATTGGTTAACGTGTTGCCATGCCAACCAGGATGGTTGACAGGAGCCCCTGACGTCCCTGTGTTGCTATGGCGACCAGAATGATGGACAGGAGCCCCTGACGTCCCTGTGTTGCCATGGCGATCAGAATGATTGACAGGAGCCCCTGACGACCCTGTGTTGCCATGGTGTCCAGAATGATTGACAGGAGCCCCTGACGACCCTGTGTTGCCATGGCGACCAGAATGATTGACAGGAGCCCCTGACGACCCTGTGTGTTGGTCTGTCCCTGTGGCCAGTTGTGAGCTTACCAATGATGTCTCTGCCTTAACTGTGTGATTGTGAAGTACAACTATAAAATCTACCAGCTTTTCTACACCGAGTCTGGCTTCAAGCAACTTTTCTTACCTCCAAATTTGTTGCCCTCTATTTTTTTGCATGATTTGGAAAGACTGAGTCCTATTGAGCCCTTTTGTATGCTTTACTTCGATATGGAGCTGAATTTACCATGAACTCTATTTTTGCATTGTTGATGATACCTGGAACTATTTCCTAAATTGACTGTTTTGTACGTTTACATGTTGTTAGTTATGAGATGGAAATCTTCCAAATTAACGTATAGCTATGAAAATCGGTTCCTATCATGACAAAATGTACGAATCTCTAAAAACCTTGTCTGCCGTTGTACTAGTGCAGTACCCAGGGTGGTCTACAGGGGGAGCCAGTAACACGCCAGCTGACAGGCGTGACCACATCGCCTCCTGTTGACTCCCGTGGGTACTGCAGTACTGGCTAGATGTGTAGTCAGCTGGATCTTGCCCTACCTGTAGTGTAGTTAGGCAGTGGACATTACTAGCTATTGTGCAGCAGTGAAAGTGTTCAATGTCTGGACGCTCTGCCAATAAAGTTCATTCGCTTTCTATGTTGTATATATAAAACACGCGGTCTGTCGTGCTTGAGTCAAGGAGTCATTACTTATTGTGTTTACCGAAGGAAAACATATTGTTTTTGCTTCGTTTCTTCCTTGGTTTCTTCTTCTTCCGTTCCAAACACTGACCTCTGGCCTGGCCAATGACTTGATTTGTTGACGTCGCTCACCATGGTAACTGGTGTTGGGTTGCAATTTTATGGTAGGAGGGATTCATATTCCTGTCTGACCAGATAACTGAATATGTTTGAGTAAGAATTAACAGAGCAGACCATATGCGAAGGTAAACATTATGCTTTTGCTTCGCAAATGTTACCTTTCTAGTGTTCGTTATCAATTCAATGTTTTTATTTGTTGTCATTTGCTTGTTGGACCATAAGGCCGCTTTTCAACAAGGTTAAGTCATGTGAAAGGGTTCTTGACTTAAAAGCAGATCCTAGTCCTATTTCCTTTGGCGTTTGGATCTAAAAGTTAGATGTGTCTCATTCAAAACCTTAGTGATTGTAACCGAGTTATGGCAAATGAGAGATTTTACTTACATTTTAGCACAACGAAACAAAAGTGTAGAACACAGAAATGACAGTTTTGTAACGTTAGACTTTATTCTGAATCTACACACAGTGCCAATTAAACTAAGCTGACATTTTCACAGTTATGTATACCGAAGGAAAACATTGTTTTAGCTCAGTTTCTTCCTCCTCTTCTCCAAAAGTAACCTCTGACCTGGCCAATGGCCTCATTTGTTGACGTCTGTCACCATAGTAACTGGTATTTGGCTACATAATGTTGCAATTTCATAGGCATTTAGGCTCTTGTCACCATATAACAAGTTACCTGTATGTGAATGTGTTTGAGTAAGAATCAACAGAGCAGACCGTATGCAAAGGTACACATTATGCATTTGTTTTGCAAATGTTACTTTTCTAGTTTTGCATCGATTTATGAACAGTTGTCCTCCGCGTGCGTTGCCATGACGACCAGCCCCTGTCCCTGCGCGCTGTCGTCGCAGAACGTCTCCGTGGTGACGCAGCCGACGCTGTGTGACGTGATGACGTCACCGGGAACGTAAAGTTTCCCGCCATAGCTACAGCAGCGCGGGTTGTCGTAAGAGAACGGCTCCAGCCGCCCGCCCGTTTTGCGGCAGTACAGCCCCCGCGCCTGGCAGAAAGTAGCCTCCGATTCGACGAGCGATTCGGGCGGGAAGAAGACGCCATCTTTGATGCAGCAGTTCGGATTTGACAAGGTGAAGTTGACCATGAGACCGGATGGGTGGCACCTCAGACCAACCGTCGTGCAGTTGTCCCGGTAGGTTACTATGGTAACGTTGGTGGCGAGGTGCTGACCTTGGTGGGGGCAGCCATCTTGTTTCTGCGCGTCCGGAGGCGGGTTCGAGCACAGCGTCCAGTCACCTTGGATCACCTGTGGTCAGAAATAGTCGGTGAACATTGTTGAGCTGTTAGATGCTACAGTTATCTGTGTAACACATAACATTAACGACAGCCTCTTTATAATGCTTTTGTGTGTGGAGTTTATCCCATGCACACTTGTTAGGAAGTAAAGAAACTCGACGGGCGGCAACTGTGTTGAAAAGTGTCAACAGAACTTGAGAGAAAATTTCAGTGCGACATGTTCGGTGCAAATACGTGTTTTAGACACACATGTCACTGACTGACAGTAGTAGTAGTAGTAGTAGTAGTATGTTTTCTTTTTGTTTTGGTTTATTGTTAAATCTACATAGATATCAACCAAAAAGGTATCTACTAAATGCTTAATCTACAAGCAGATCTTTTGGTGGGTAGTATCAAATTGGCCAATCTGTAACCATTTCCCCACCCAAGTTGGTGGTAGTAACAAAAAAGGGCCATATATAAAAAGCAAACGATCTTCCACCATCAACCTCTGCTTGGAGAGTACTAAATGCTGCTTTGCTACAGCCTGATAACGTTAATTGCAGTGCAGTTCCAACACGAAACACTAGAGGTCGCCCTTACCTGCGTGCCCATCTCGCACTTCACCAGGCAGCCGCTAGGTTCGCTGTAGGTGACGTCACCGTGCGGAAAGTACCTGCCGAACATGCGAAACGATTGCTCATTATCTATTGCACTGCTTTATATAAACCTATCAGCGCTTAGTCCTCTTTGGCAAGCTTTCAAGTATACTTGGTAATATTGTTGATTTAAGTACCCTTTCTGACAATTCTAAACAGCATTTAGTTCTCCGCGGTAGTTTTCTTTATTCGTATGATATCAACTGCAAAATAATGTTAGCCGCACAGTATTATATAAAAGAAACAAAACGCTTCTAACTGTATGTGTCTTCTGGGACGGGAGGTTTGTTTCTCACGCGAGGTCTCATGTATTTTCAAACGTCTTGTAGAATATTTTTCTTTCATTGTAAAAGTGGCTGCGAGAATATAAGTTGTACCTAACTTGAGTTCGCAGCCACTTAGTCCATGTCTTTTCATTTGTAACCATCATTGTGATTCTGAATTTTAAAAAAAAAGTACCTGCCGTCGACGGCGCAGCACCAGGGGCTGACGTCATGCTTCGTCTGCAGGTGTCCGAGCGACGTGCAGTACGTCACGTACGTCACGCAGGTGTCCAGGTGCGCCGTCACGTCACTGCCGGGGGTGTACCACGATCCCTGCGGGGGAGGGGGGTGACGTCATCGCCAGGTGAACCACTTTGCCTCAGGTAAACACTTTGTACAAGACAATTTCATGTTTTCCTCGCCTACGTTTACACACCCACAGGCCACACCGACTTAATTTTATGGATGACATCCTCTGAAGACCTCCAAACTAGCTAGTGAGCGCGGGCGAATAAAAAAAATCCGGCCAAAAATAAAAATGCTAATAAACCATAGGAATACAAAACTGGTACTCTGAATTTGCGGCAGTACATAGCGACGTATACGACAAGCCAGGCTTTTGGGGGAATTTATGAATCAGCACTGTACGTAGGTACTGAGTTCTTGAGTCCTGGCCTGAGCTTCGGTAGCCTGGGTGCCCGGCTCCGTATTGTCGCTAGCTACCAGTGCTTTGGACTACCCAGGCCTAGAGCCATGCCAGAGCCTCGGTGGACATGATCTCTCTTTTTAGAACAGGCGAAAATCAATGCGCGCGCGGATGTCATCCATAGAATTAAGTCGGTGTGGCCTTAGCAACAATGACCTGACTTAAGGCATGAAAAGAGAAAATTATATGTCTTCCCTTTATTTCATTTCGTTGAATGATGGTTAACATGCCGCACCGCGTTGTAGTCATTTTCTATCTAAAACGGGCAAACTTTTCAACCCTATCTGTCTGAATACAAAAACGACGCGGAGTTTGCGGCAGACCACTGAAAATTCTCGTGATTGATTTGCAGCGTTACGTACATAGTTATTTCAAAACGAAATGTGGCAAGTAGCTGTATTCAAAAAGTTAAAGCTGGTCTTGATGTAATTCTAATTTGTGAGAGAGTGTATGAAAGTTCCTGAAAATAGATAAAATTGAAAAGAAAAAAAAACATTGCTGTTGCCGTCGCTCCTATCTTCATTCTCAAAATGTAGACCTGATCAGCTTTTATCATAAGCAATCATTCCCTCAGTCATTCTTTATGAACTTCCCCGAAAAGTTGGAGATGTTGGGGGGCTAAAACTTGTACCTTCTCGACATCGCATGGAGGTGAAATTTTAGGACCTTCTGACCCCACCACGAACATGTACTACACGATAAGCAATAAGGACAAATAAGTGTTGAAGACGAAATTTTTAGCACTGCAAAATGGTATGTTTTAAGACGATTGTGTGTGGGTCTCCCTAGGCCTGAGTGTCAGCCTTGTTAGGTTTAGTCCGCTCCCCGCCAACGGGGACTAAAGCTAATCTCCAAGCAGATTCGGTGGGGCAGGGGGACTTTATATTGGCCAGTCCTGTATCCATTGCCCGCCTGTATCCTGTATCGTGGGGCGAACGTTGGATACAGGCGGCCAGTGGATACAGGACTGGCCAATATAAAGTCCCCTTGCCCCACCGAATCTGCTTGGAGATTAGACTAAAGCTAGCTAGCAAGGCTGGCACTCAGGCTAGGCCTCCCTAGGCTTACCTGGAAGAAGCAGCATTGCTGGGGAGCTGCGTGTGGCGAGGTCGGGTCGTAGTACTGCCCGGTCTGCGTGCACCAGCCGGTCTGCCCTCGCACGGCTGCTCCGGCGGTCAGCTGCAGGTCCGTCTGGCCGCGCACAGCTCCGGCCGACAGGTCCGGCATTTTTCCGGCCAACAGGTCCGGCATTTCTCCGGCCAACAGGTCCGTCTGGCCGCCCACAGCTCCGGCCGACAGGTCCGGCATTTCTCCGGCCAACAGGTCCGGTTGACCACGCATTGCTGCCCCAGTCGACAGGTCCGGCCACAGTAGGGCCAGGAAGTACAGGGACAGGAACATCTCACAGTAGATTTGCAAGGAGCCTTTTGGGTCTTGCAGGACTCTTACAGCGCCTCTCTACAGGTGTAGGGTCTTCTAACGTCCGTTTACTGCAGCCGAGATGCCTTAGAATTGTTCTGTCGTCCCTAAAGCGGCAGCGAGTCTGAGGTTTAGCTGTTCTGGCCGGTCCTGACACTGTCACTGACACTGACACTGCGAGTCCTGAGGATAGACGGGAAAACCGGCCCTTTATATGGCGGCTGACTGTTGTGTTGATGGAAACGGCCCGGCAGCAACAGACACCGTGATGGGAGAGGTGGGGTTTTAAGTACTTTTTAATGCAGCAGGTAAGAGCACAGGTATACACAAACACTTACAGGCACGAGCGCATGCAAACATAAACACGCAGGTAAGAGCGCATGCAAACATAAACACGAAACAACAGGGGGAAGTTTGGAGGTCATCTGAGCAGTGAGTGTGTTTCCGTTGCTAGGTGACATGTGACAGTTTTTGTAAAGATTGACAGCCGTCTCCATGACAACGGATATGACGTCATGTGAAGGGACCGTCATCTCTGGGAAGAGTGACGTCAGTTTTGGTAGTCATGGCGACGAGGATGACGCCATTTGGGAGGAGCTGGCGGTCTCCAAGGTGGGTAACATGACGTCATTGTCTTGGTTTATACAACCTTTAAGGGGGCATACCCCAGATTGTTTTGGGTCTCGATTCGATTCTGCACACCCTCAACTTTAGCGACCGTCTCTCTCAGGAAATAATTCTTAATGCTAAGGTCACATTTCCAAACCGGGGCCCGGCCGGGCTGTTTCGATTAACGAAATATCAATAATTTATAGCAATAACATATGCAAATAGTTCCCATCATTAATATTTCAACTTTTGGTGGCTTTGTTCTGTATCTGTATCTGTATCTGTATAGCCGGTATAACCGCCTTTCGGCGTAACACACCAGCTTCGCAGGCACGCGGCGCGGCGGCAGCTGGCTATATTACACCGATCGACTTGTTACACCTAACCCTTGAACTTCTAGCTCTAGACATTGTTTAAAGCTATCTATTGACAATGCCCCTACTGTACTTGGTGACAGTGAGTTCCACTCTGCGATAGTTCTAGGAAAGAATGAATTCTTGAACACCTCAATCCTTGGTTGATAACTCTGGTACTTGAATGCGTGGCTATTTCTTGTTCTCTTCTGGGCTGGTATTAGGTACTTAGTAGTTGGGACATCCACCAGTTTATTAGTCATTTTGTACATCATGCATAGTCTAGACATCTTTCTTCTGTCTTCCAGTGAAGTCCACTGTAGGTTTCTTTTCATTTCCGTGACACTAACACCTCTTACATAGTTGTTCATACAGAATCTTGCAGCTTGATTCTGTACCCTTTCCAATTTGTCTTTGTCTTCCTTTGTATATGGATCCCATACTGTCGCAGCGTATTCTAGGTTCGGTCTTACAAGTGACGTGTATGCAAGTGATTTCACTCTAGTTGGACATGCCCACAGATTACGCTTAATCACTCCCAATGTCTGTTTCGCCTTAGTTGTGATATTATTAACATGTGTACCCCACTTCAGTCCGCTTGTCAGCGTGACGCCCAGATACGGATGGATTTTTGTGGTTGCTAAAGCCTGACCACAAAACTGGTAGCTAGTTGCATGTGGTGTTCGTTTGTTTGTTATGTGCATAATGTAGCATTTTTCGGGATTAAACTGCATGAGCCATTTGCTTTGCCATTCTTCCAGGGTGTTCAGGTCTTTTTGGAGAAGTTGTGAGTCGGTCTGTGTAGAAAGACTCTACATACAATAGACAGTCATCGGCAAATAACCTCACATTTGAGTCAAGCTGATCTGGTAGGTCATTTATATACAAGAGAAAGAGCAATGGCCCCAGGACGGTTCCTTGAGGGACCCCAGACGCTACTTTAACTGGAGCCGACGCCTTCCCTTCAACCACTACTGTTTGCTCCCTGTTGGTCAGGAAAGCCTTTAACCAATTCAGCGTAGGGCCTTGGATTCCATAATACTCCAGTTTTGAGATGAGCCTGCCATGGGGGACTTTATCAAAGGCTTTAGTGAAATCAAGTATTGCTAAATCTACCTGCCGTTTACTGTTTAGTGCGCCAGCTATGTCATGGACTGTTAGTATAAGCTGTGTTTCTGTGGATCGTTTGGCTCTGAATCCATGCTGGTAATCTGTTAATATACTGTAACTTTCTAGGTGCTTCATGATTTGGCTATGGATAATATGTTCAAGTAGTTTGCAGGATATGCAGGTCAGTGAAACAGGTCTGTAGTTGCTGGGGACCGCTCTATCTCCTTTTTAAAGATGGCGCATATATTTGCATCCCTCCAATCTTTAGGGATTTCTGCAGTGTTTAGCGAGTGTTGGAAAATATTGGTTAGAACAGGCGCGATTTCACTAGCTGTCAACTTGAGGAACCACGGTGGTATTTGGTCTGGTCCGGATGCTTTAGAGGGATTGAGACCTTGAAGCATTTTTTCGACACCATCAGTAGAAACTACTATATGTTCCATTGGAGGAGTACAGGGCTGGCCTAGAGATGGCATATCTGTAGTGTCTTCCTCTGTGAAAACACTTTTGAACTGTGAACTGAGTACTTCTGCTTTTTTCCCACTGTCACTGATGATGGTATTTCCCACCTTTAGGGGTGCTACCCCGACAAGGTCTTTCCTCAGTCCTTTTATGTACGACCAGAATGTTTTGGGTTTGTCAACTATAGCTTCTCCCAGTATGTCTGCCACGTATTTAGAGTGTGCTTGTCTTATGCTTTTCTGAACTCCCTTCTTAACTCTCTTATATTTGTTCCAGTCTTCCTCTTGGCCTGTTTTCTTAGCTTTGTTATAGAGCCGCTGCTTCTTACGACAGTGCCTCCTTAGGTTTCTGTTGAACCAAGGCAAGTTGTATCTGCTTGATGTTATCTTACTTGGGATGTGCTTGTTCATCGTGTCTTTCATTTTGTCTTTGAAGTCTGACCACTTCTGTGTAACTGACATATCCTGAGTTCTTTTGTGAAAGTTAGTTGCATAATCCTTTAGGTCTTTCTTAATGGCTGGTTTGTCGGCTTTTGTGCGGATGTACACTTTTCTCTTAGGTTTCCTGTTTTGTTTCAGTGCCAGGTTAACGTCCACTAGAACCATGTCGTGGTCACTTATCCCCGGGACTACTGTGGTCTTCTCAATTATGTTGGGGTTATTAACTAAGACCAGGTCCAAGAGATTACCATTTCTAGTTGGTTCCTGGACTGTTTGAAATAACCTGTGGTTATCCATTAGGTTTAGTAGTTTCTCTGCTTGGCCTGTGTAGGCCTGACTGTTGTCAGCTACAGTAGTATCCCATTTGATGCCAGGGGTGTTGAAATCGCCAAGAATGATCACATTGTCAGAGTTTATTTTTGCTCCCATTTTACCTATAGACCTGTCAAGTTCATCCAGACTATTGCCCTGGTCTGATGGGGGTCTGTAGTATGTACCCATTATCAGTGGTTTCCTTCCTGCAAGTTGAGTTTGTGTCCACAGAACCTCGCAGTCTGTGTCAAGGTCTGGCCTATGGGTAACAATTAGATCATCTCTGTTGGCCTGAAATACACCACCTCCTTGGCCAGTTTGTCTGTCTTTCCGGTGTGCTATGTAGTTGCTGGGGAATATTTCACTACTTGCTATGTTTTGGTTGAGCCATGACTCTGTACCTGCTACTATATCTGGCTTGTAAGTGTCAACTACTGTCGCCAGTTCAGCTGTTTTGTTCCGCACACTCTGACAGTTTACTAGCAGAAGTTTACTTTTAGATCTCTTGTGACTATGACCCCTCGTTTGAGAATTACCCTGCTTTGATTTAAGTGGGGTGGATGAAGCCATTGGGATTTCGTCTGGTAAACTTGAGTCAGAACTTGTTGTCTTTTATATGATATTTTTCGTTCCATACGACTGCCTGACCGGGCCCCGGTTTGGAAATATGACCTCAACATAAGCCAAAACACTGTGGGAAATTCTTCGTGAGGCGTAATTGGTCGACGGTCACATCATCATCTGCTATACACTTAATTCATCGTTAAGCGTTATTGTTGAACGTCAGATTGGCAAAAAAAATGTCACAACTATGGGGGCATTCAGTTCAACCACGGGCCAGATCATTAGGCAAAGGGGCATGCTACTTGGCACTTTTTGTCATGGCAACTTTTCTATCGGGGGCGAAGTATTGAGGTTCCCTTTCGCGATTCGTACACCTAGGCTGCAGTACCACTTCTAACCGCCAGGCAGAGATTGTATGCTGTAGGGCGTCGTCGAAGCCTCGCTCAATGGCAATGCACAAGACTGAATTGTTCCTTGTCATCATGTAGAATGGTTGAGACTCCCGCCGCTTCAAGAGTCAACAAAGTCTAGCCTCTATCAGGCTTCGGGAGGCGGCTGGAAAGAGTAGAAAGTGGCCAAATAGAGAGATAATATGCCGAGGTAGTTGGTCCGCTAGAGAGTAAACATGTACAGTTTGCCGCACCACGGAAATGTAGAGGGCCAACCCCCCTGCCTGGCATCTTATTACCTTCGCCAAGAAGGTTATGTTTTCAGTAGCGTTTGTCCGTCTGTCTGTCTGTGAACAGCATAACTCAAGAAGCTTAATATGCATTGTCATGAAACTTGGTAGGTGGGTAGGTCTTGATGAGAGCTAGAAATGATTAGATTTTGAGCCCCCTGGCGGCTTTCCTAGGTACTGCAGCAGAACTTCCGGTTTTGATATCTCGCGATCTGGACATACTAAGGTCACCAATGTTTGGTGGTAGATAGCTCTTGGGGTAGGGAAGAAGTGACATGAGTTTGGACCCCCTAGCGGCTTGTTGTGGAACTGCAGGAGCATTTGTTGAAAAATGTTTGAAGAAGGATAACTCAAGAACCAGTTGGCGGATTGTCATGATTTTTGATTTGTAGGTAGCTGAAGTGATGCTTGACATAATCAATGACAATTATGCAAATCAGGAGCTAATTTGCATAATTAATGAGGAAATTGTATAAATCTGTTTTGCTCGATAATAGGACTATGAAACACTTGTGACATGTAATTGAGAACGAAAAAAACATCCGAGGATATATATTATGTAAATGAAGACCTAATTTGCATAATTAGGGAATTTTTCATAATTTCATAGTTGTAACTGCTGGGAATTTCATACTTGCCACATTTGGAAGTTAAGTGAAGGCAAACATCAATAAATATAATTTATTCAAATCATTACCTCATTTGCATAATTTATGGGCAAGTCATATAATAGCCTATAATAGCCTTATCTTCCTTACAGGAAGATAAGGCTGTCATTGGGTGGAGAATATGATCAACTGATACAATCCATGCAAATGAGGCTCTTACTTGCAAAATCAATTATTGAAATTGTATAATTCGTCACCCGCAAGGGTTAACATAATTTGGCGAAGGTATGAGATCGTGGAACTCTTGTTATATCTCTATTTGGCCAGTTTCTACTCTTTCCAGCCGTCTCCCGAAGCCTGGTAGAGGCTAAGCAAAATTGCCACCTCCATAGCCGTACGATCGGCGTTAGGACCTAGCCTAGCTGGTCGGGTGTCATCCGACTGGCTACGGGACTCCCTATACTCGCCGGCCGGAACAATCCCTTATATATAGAAAGAGAGGGCCTGCATGCCCTTTTTCGTATAAAGGCGTAATCAGGCCTTTTTAGCCATCGTAATCCGTAAGCAGCCTCCCCAAAAATCAACGTAATTCATAATCAGTATATTAGCCGTAACACGTGATTGGTCGTTTTAATTCTACGTAAAGCGTAATCTGTTACTTTTAAATACTAGTATACAACGTAAAACGTAATCCATGAATGCAAATAGGATGGCAACTAGGCCTGTTTTCGACAACAAATTCAGGTCAATTAGGGACAGCCGTGGATGTCTTATAAACGTCTTGGCCGGACGTTGTAACCGAGAAGACGGTCGTAGATCTGTGACGTCGTTCGGTTGTCTCTTAGCCTACCAGTACCACAGCACACGCTTCGCCCCGGGAATATGAAAGTTCACAAGGAGTGATGGACGACAACCGAGCTATTAATAGCGCCTGGACCCGGGATGATACAAAACCAGCCACAAACGGTGTCGTGTTGCAAAGTGCCATATCAAACTCTAGTGTCCTCATGTCCTGTAACTAGCACTGGCAGTCTGATCTGTGTCTAGATAGAGGCGGGGTGGGGGGAGGAGAAATCATTGGTGGTGGATGGATGGGATAATGAATAGGTAGATGAGATAGATGGATGGGTGTGTGGGTTCATAGATGGATGAATTGATGGAGTAGGGTTATGGGAGGATAGATGGATGGAATGTTGCAAGAAGCACATGAGGCCCAGCTGACGAATTTCCACTTTCCATTTCAGCCTTTACACAGTCACCATTGCGATGAATTTCGAACCCCTGTCATCCTTAATTCAACAATGGCTCGTCCCCCCAACACGCCACCCTGCCGGGCACTACCGGACGGTCCCCGGACGTGGGACCTTTTCCGCGACTTTCTCCGTCCTGCAACTAATCGAAATGGTGTGTGTGAAATGAGATCCCGCGTCCCAGTACGCCCCCTGTGTACTACCACATACAGACCAGTCCGCCATCTCTGTACTGTAAGGAGCGCGCGGGACTATCTCTCACCGACATCAGCTAGGATACACCACAAAGACGGTAAGTCCTACCTTTTCCCTCTCTCTACACAAGTTTCCGCTCGTTCTCTACCCAAAGGACCGACGCAGAAGTCTTAACTGGTCGGTTCAGACTGATGGAGTTAGTTCTGGGTCGGGTTTGGGACGTGGTAACCTCCATAGCATGCCAAGAACTGGGGGTCTTCATAGTCTTTGGGAGCTTTTATCTGCTATTTTCTGATTGCATATAGACAACATAGCCGGCCTGGTTGAATTATCCCCGGTTTTTACAACTGGGCAAATCAGAAAACAGCCGAAGACCACCAAACCCCTTTTTCTATAAGCCTGCTACGGAGGCTAGTTTTGGATAGCGGTTTGAAGTGACGGCAGTCCCTAGCTGGGTCTAGAGTTATTTACTGACAGACAAATTAGTGCTGGATGGAGTTTGCTGTTTGTCTGTGTTCCGCCTGTTGGTATTTGTTAGCGGTACACAGGACAGTCGCTAAACATTGCCGTGATGAGGCGACGGTAAATACGGCTTTGGATACTGTAGATTGTTACTCCAATGTCAAGTGCATTAAAGGCAGTACCTAATTTCGTTTCCTGTGTCCTGTGGTACGTACAATGTCTGTGGTAGTACCATACTGCATGTCTATGATACTGTGTCTGTGGTACTGCCGAAATATTACAGATTTACTTGAGATATCCCTTATAAATTGTTTTGTACGAATTTGAAGGCTTGCTTTGTTGTTTTTTATCAGTCTCAGTGTGTAGTTGACCTCATGGAAGTCTTTGTACTTTTATGTTGCGTGATTAAACTTCTCTCAATAGTATACAGTTACCATAGTTTTGCAGCTTCTGCCGAATGTGTTGTTCTGTGTTCCACTGAGGGGATAGAAGGTGACTGGGGCCTCAGTTCCCCCCGCATCACCCACTGTATCCTGTATGTCCCTTTTGTTGGCGCGGCTGTCTGGAAACGTTTGTTCGTTTTTATCGAGTTTGCTGTTTCCTGACTTTACCAGTTCTTCCGTGAGTTCAACCTAGCCTGGGTGCCGGGCTGTTGCCAGGGCTAATATACAGCCTAGCTCCTCGGCTCCAGGGCTAGCATGTCCCCATGAAAATTTTACTATAGACACTCGAGCATTTTTTTTTATTTATTTTTTTATTTATCTTTTATTATTTTTTTAACGGTGTCGCTCAATGCAAGGCCAATTATTTTTGGCCACTCCTAGGCATAGAGCTAGAGGTACTTAAGTGAGTATAATGTAGTTATGTCAGGAGATGGCGGTGGGCCTTTGTTTTGAAGCTTTGTGGATTGTAGTCGGATGGAAAGCAACTGCTTGGAAGAGAGTTCCATAATTTTGCAGTCCGGGGAAAGAAGCTGTTGTTGTAAAATGACTTGGAGACAGGCATGTTAACGGTGTATTGATGAGAACTGGTCCTGATAACAGTGTGGTATCCAGTCTAGGTCCCCAGACTGACTTGGAGTCGGATCACCGAACATGTCAGCTTGCATTGTATCTGTAGGAGATGACCTAGCTTGGAACCAGGTGTGGTAAAGTGCCTAGCTAGCAGCAGACTCCAGTGTTAATTGTGTCCTTTAGGTAAGGCCCTCGGGACCTATATTCCCCGAAGATAGGTGAAAATGAGTAGTACCTAGCTTTGGTTAGGGACGTCCTCTCTGACTATATAGTCAAGCTGATAGAGCATTATCTTCGGCCAGGTAGGAACTGTGAAATTCCAGTTTGGGCCATTTGATGGACATGTTTTATTTTTATTGATGGACATGTAGATGTAGATGTAGATGTAGATGTAGATGTAGATGTAGATGTAGATGTAGATGTAGATGTAGATGTAGATGTAGATGTAGATGTAGATGTAGATGTAGATGTAGATGTAGATGTTGATGTAGATGTAGATGTAGATGTAGATGTAGATGTAGATGTAGATGTAGATGTAGCCATCTCTGGTCCCTGTTGATTACGATGCTGATACTAGTACTGACATGTCATGTAGTGCTTTGTTTTAACTAACGTGCTACATTTAGCGTGTATATAGGCAGTGATATGCAGTAAAGAAGACTGATCACAAGTTAGAACAGGACCTGTCATGTTATGTTACCTCTCAGGATTTACCATCTCCGCATGTGTCCGTTCAGTGAGAGTGAGTGAGTGATATGATACTGTGCCGCCATGTTTCCTTGTCACGTCAGGCACGACCTTTGGTTTACGAGTTGACAAATGAAAACAAACCGCCAAAATAACCGTGTCACGGAAACATCATGCGTGATGGATAATACTCGCCAAGCAGATCTTGTATCTGTATCTGTATCTGTATAGCCGGTATAACCGCCTTTCGGTGTAACGCACCAGCTTCGCAGGCACGCGGCGCGGCGGCAGCTTGCTATACTACACCGATCGACTTGTTACACCTAACCCTTGAACTTCTAACTCTAGGCACTGTTTAAAGCTATCTAATGACAATGCCCCTACTGTACTTGGTGACGACTCGATAGTTCTAGGAAAGAATGAATTCTTAAACACCTCAATCCTTGGTTGATAAATCCGATACTTGAAGGCATGGCTATTTCTTGTTCTCTTCTGGGCTGGTATTATGTACTTAGTAGTTGGGACGTCCAAATTGTAGCAAATCGTGTAGCAAATTCGTTTACTGCTGTTGTTGCTTGTTGTCCTTGATTTACGTCTATCTTTTCGCTAGATAAGTTTTGGTGTCTCATGTTCTGAGTTTCACTTTCGCTTGGTTCAGAGTTCATTCTGGTCGTCATGGCTCACCTTGTTTTGTCCCATGGCCCCAGACCTGTGCCTATGAAGGCCCATGCCTGTATGGGTTAGAGTTAGGATCAGGCACGGTTCTGGATACGCTCGAACCATCCAGAAACCATTGAAAAACGCCATCAGGCTATATGTACTCCCTGGTTAAATGAATAAACAAACAAACAAACAAACAAACAAACAAACAAGAATCGTGCCTGAGCATGAGTATGAATAAAGCACGGTTCCGGATACAATCATACACCGGAGCCTGTATGTTGTCGGAAGTGTCACTCAATGTACATTTAGAAGTTTTCTTACATCTGTGTGTTGATTTCTCTCACGCCAACACAGGACCGGTGGTGTCTGTTCTGTTTTCTTACTGTGTGCCAAAATCTTAATGAAGAGTCGGTCTACGGGACACGGAGGATCTGGCCAATCTGTCGGAGCGTACGTACAAAGCCTGGCCCATGACCAAAGCAATATAGCCTCCATCAGGCCTTCCTACGGGGGTACGGATCCTAGTCTCCACCAGGCCTTCCTACGGGGGTACGGGTCCTAGCCTCCACCAGGCCTTCCTACGGGGATACGGGTCCTAGAATTCCGTCAAAAAGGGAAATAGTTGGCCAGGATAGTCAGTCTGCGAGAGGGTTAATTTCCAACTAACTGCAAATGAACTCTACGCTGGCTAAACTCCCCTAGTCAGTTATTCTCCCTTTTTTTGAATCCGCGTTGTTAGTCTGGTGGAGACTAAATTAGTAAAAGCAATGGACCCACTCTTGGCCAGGCTGTTAGGACTCAGCCTGTGTTACACAACATCTCGGAATGGTCCTTTGTTAAGTTTCGATTGAAGACAGATCTGACGTTGCCAATGGACCTCACTCCTGGCCGGCAGTCTAATGCGATGTTGTCACGGGAAGACCTGCTCGAAGATTAGGTCCATTCCACTCCGCTGTTTGCATTCCTTTTTTTCGTAAGACGTAATCACTTTTTAGTCTTCGCAATCCGTAGGCAGCCTCACCCAAAATCAAGGAAGTTCGTTACTAGTACATTAGCCACAAATCGTAAAGTCGTAATCAGCTCTGAGAATTTAACGTAATTCGTGATCGGCGGCGAACATTTTGCGTAATTCATAACCACTAAACACCCCCCACCCCATGCATGCCCTCAATTAAGAGGGCCTGCAAGCTTAAGGGGGGGGGGTGTCCCGACAACGCTCTACGCTGAATTCGGAAACCTCTCGATTACGCTTTACGATAAATTCCAAGTCTCTACAACGCATTACGTAGAATTAAAACGGCGAATTACGCTGTACACAAAATGCGCCAATTACGCTCTACGTTGAATTAGAGCGACCCGATTACGCTCTACGGAAAAGGGCTTGCAGTCCCCAATTAAGTGTTCGTCCTTGCAGCAGGTTCGTGTAGGTCTGGCCTTGTGTTCTGTCAGAGTCAGGGCATAAATAACTGCTATAGAGATGACCTGTCCACAGACCGGAGGTCCTTGTGATGTGTATAAAGATAAAGGAGAGTCTGACACGCAAGTCGTGATCCTGACCTGTTGTTGGGCGTTCTGTTTACGGCGGCC